CCTATTCATTTGGTTGGACACGATCGATGTCGAAGAGGGATTCGTGATAATAGTGAATGATTGAGAAGTTCACACGCGATAGATCAGTTTGATACGTGTGTTGTATATTTGTGTTTATTGGTCACGACGTTAGACACAATCTGTTTAGGACTCGGTATCAATGCTTTAGCATTTGATAGGTCTTGAATGCTAGACATAGCTTTAGGCTTAATGTTCACTTTTATATTGATTCTTAATGCTACCATATTTATTTGGACACGAACGATATGGTTGAAACCTTGTTGGCATTTGGACATGAATGCCGACGTGAGTGATATATGATGGTATTGAGGAATAAATAGACTGTGTATAACTGACTGATAGAAGACATATTTTCGAGTTATGAAAACCAATCCTAGCATGTTCTCTCCCCTCTCCAAGATATTTAATTTTTTGTTGTTTATTTATTTTTCCTTTCGCTTTAAATATACTTTTACCAATAAGCTTAGAAACATAGTAATGATTGAATGACATTGATAACACTAATCCCTGTGGAGACGATAAAAGATACTTACTCAAGTTTTTGCTTGAGAGCCGCTTTACTGCAGTTGTTAACAAAATGGTTGTCGGGGACTTGAACCCGGGTCTCTCGGGTGAGAGTCGAGTATCCTAACCAACTAGACTACAACGGCGCCATTTTGTTGAAATACACTTTACAGTGCAAGTATTTAAATTATCGTTTTCCACAGAGATTGGTGTGATATTACTGTCGTTCTACAATTATAATCATTTTAAGGTTAAGTTTCATAAAAGGGTTTGATTTTGATTTTAGTAACGAAAAATGTTGATTTCATGCAAAGTATCAAGTATAGGGAATATAAAGTTTCGGTTTTAAATGTTTGGTAAAAGCGTCTCAAGATTAGGGCTCGATAATCTCTTTCGGACATATTTTCTCAATCAAGTATGTGAACTCATTAACCATAAACATAATCACATATCCTCTCAAGATGTTTCATCTCTAAAATAAATTGTGAGTTTTATCAAATTGATCCTTAGATGATCTCTCTATTTAACTATCAATTTGATAACTTTAAAAGCTCCATATTAGTGAATATCAACTCACAAAACTATGTCTAAAAAAATTTCATTGATAAGTGAAAATCTAGGTCAAGAGATGGACATACTTCTCAATAATGATCAACTCAAATATAAACCATAAAACAAGAATTGTCACCATATATTTATCATCAACACATTCACATACAAATAATCAAGCTAAATACATACAAAAATGAAGATTATCTACCTCTAATCTTGACAAAAAGAAGGATTTAGCTACCCATCACCATGATAGTTTGATCAACAAGTAAAGTATGAAGCTTGATGAACATCAACTAGAAAATATCAAAGATTTAAGGTAGAAATCTTTGATCTTGAGTTATAAAGGATTAAAAAATATTTCTTAGCTCTAAGTATCTGATTTTTGTGTGTTTGACAAGAGTTGGTAGCCAAAATATCACAAAGAATTCTAATTATACAAGTGCCAAAAAGTGAGTGCCGCTAAGCGGCCAGAGCATGCTAAGCGGGCTCAACGAAAATATCTTTTTTCCCGACTCAATGGACTGCACTAAGCGGGACGAGGCTGCTTAGCGGGCCCAAAAACATGTCATTCTGCTAAATATGCAAAACATCAAAGCGCGCTAGCCTGAGCAAATCTTCAATTATTGACTTGTTGCATCTCACTCTTGGCTCTAGCTTGCCCAAAACTCCAATGCTCTAATGACCAACATCAAAACCTACAAAATAAACATAAAACTAAGTAAACAAAGTTATTTACCTCAAAAACTATATCATTGCTTATTTACATCTATTTACAAACTTAAACACTACTAATTATCCAAATATAGTGCAAAGAACATAAAATTGTCTACAAATATATCAATATTTTTGTCCTTAACAACTTTCCCCAACTTAGCATTTTTTTGTTTGTCCCTAAACAAAAATTCTCTAACTAAAAGAAAACCAAGACAAACCACAAAGTTAGGAAACAACAAGATTTTTAGCACAAGATAATTTGATGGTTCAAATGAACAAAAATAAATAAGATAATGCTTACTACTAACTAAATCCAACCATAAGTATGAAACAATGGTTAAATGCAACATACATATCAAAATTTCTAAAACAATACAACTCAAAAATTAATCACCCTTAAACACACACTGATCAATGGATTGTTGTAAGTATTTACTTTGCATGTGCATTTTTAGTTTGAACCATCCATTTGTTTTATGTTTTTAAAACCTGTTGATTCGTGATTCTTAGATTATGGTCTTTTGTTTCTTTAGGTTGTTTGACTTTGTTTGAGGATAAACAATATTTTAAGTTGGGGAGAGTTTGATGAGTGATAAATTATTGTGAATTTGAGTGTGAATAATTAGCATTCATCGAATTAATTCGTTTGCTTTTTTTCAATAAACCTCAACTTTAGTATATATTTGGTATAGTTTATGTTATAGTGTATATATTGCATTATCGTGTTAATATCATTTAGTTTAATTGTTTTTATCTCATTTTTGTAGGTATTCAAGCATTTATATTTTATCATTGTTTTGTAGATCATTGAATTAGCTTTTCAAAGCTTCAAACCGTGCGTCAATCGGAGTTGCGGTTCAGAAGTTATGCTCAAAACAAGATATGTCAGTATAGCAGACTGCGTTAAGCGGCAGTACCGCGCTAAACGCGCACTGGCAGCATCAGAAGCCGTGTTTTTTTGACATTTTTGACTGTGCTAAGCGTCCATAACGCGCTTAGCGCACCCTACTACAACAACAACTATATTTTAGTGATTTTTCACACTTTTTGGGTCATTCTATCATTTTTCTTCATGGTGGCAACTTAGAGGGAGCTGAGAAACGTTTTAGAGAGAGAGAGAGAGAGAGAGAGAGAGAGAAGTACTACAAACAACATAGAAGTTGATTCTTTCAGATTGGGGTCGTATATGAGTTACCTGGTGGGACACCTCGATTGATTCTTCTCCCTCTTCACTTTCCCCTCGTCGTGGTTAGAGACCATGAGTGATTAGGATCTCTTCTTTGTTGGTTGTGGTTGTAATAATTGTAGCGGTGAAAATCGAAGATCAAGCTATTAATTAACTTGAATCGCAAATAAGTAAGAGTTGTCACCGCATTTTATTATTTCCAAGAGAAAAGAGAAAAGTGCAAAATAAAACCCATAAATATGTAAAGTATGAATAATACTAAAAAGTAAAAAAATACAATACATTTGAAAGATCCAAGGTTTGAGGGTTGGTTATACAAATGGAAGATGTTATCACCTAATGCATTTGCGATACTCCGCAGGAACTTTTTTAAATATCTGTGTATTTTTGTTAAAATATTGGTTTGCTTGCTAAATGAGTGTGGGTTTGAGATTTTGAAAATGCAACGACCTAATGACGAGGTTTTTTGGCTTAAAAGAGTGTAAGTTTGAAAATTGAGTTTTTTAGGAGAGTTAATAACTTAAGATTAACAAAACTAATAAAAATGTATGAAGGGGTTTTGCACAATCGTATTAGATATATTCAATGATAATAAATTTGATTCTTCCATTTGAGTAAATCGAGCAAGCAAAATAAAATGGACATCAAAATATAAGCATTCGAAAATTCACAAGAAAATAAATCTAACAAACAGATTAATGATCAAAAGGCATCGATAAATTAAAATGACAAAGATACTTAAATACAAATAAAAGAGAATGTGACTAATTATCTAAAGAAGTTATTTGAACTAAATTAAAAATTTAAGATTAACAAAATAATTCTAAACTAACTACAAATTCTAAGGTTATAGAAATAATTCTAAAACTACTAAATTAGATCTAAACTAAATTAAAATTTTAAAATTAGTAAATTAAATTTAAAACAAATAAAATTTCCTAAGTTACTAAACTAAATCAAAATCAAATAAAAATTCTAAAGTTACTAAACTAAATCTAAGTCAAATAAAAATTTTAAAGTTACTAAATTAAAAAAAAAATCTAAATTTATTAAATTAAACCTAAGATCAAATCTAAACCAAATAAAAATTCTAAAATTACTAACTAAAATATATAATAAAACAATTAAAAAATATTAGAAAAAAAACGAGAAACATCAAATGGGAGTGTGATGTTAGAAAAAAAAAGCAGATCAGGGCTGAAGAAAAAACAGATTTTACCGGGTCAAGAAAGCCCACACGAATTCATGAAAAACCAAAATTCTAAATACTATCAAATGTGCAGCCATTACTTTACCTTGAATAAGATCCCATTTTAATTTTAATTCCCAATTAATCTTTATTAAAACGAAACCTAGAAGGAGTAAAAACAAAATCACACTGTATCTCTCTTTTTCTTCTCACGCATAAACTCTCTCAAAATCTCATCGCTTTCTCTCAATTCTCTCAACCAATTTCCCTTGATTCCTCATCTCACACGATTCTCAAATCAATCCTCCCACAGATTCTCACGCTAATCAAAAAAACGAAACTCCGTGGCTTCTCTCAATATCACGGCTTTGTTACAGCAAATAACAACAACTATGTTCATAGTTCCGCTCATGCCTCTGTTTCTCGGATTCTAATCTCTCTGTTCGGTTTGAACAACAACAACTCATTTTTCATCTGTATTATGGCTCAGTTTAGCTTTCGGGTTTGGTTATCTCGTGTAAACAACAACAGAAGCGCTCACGAATTCTCACGGTTACGACACCATCTCTCACCATGCTTTCCATTGTTCAACAACAACAAAGCTTCTCACGGGACTCACGCTCAGTTTTTCTCTCGACCGATAGTTACGATTTCGTCTCTCGCTCCTAGCTTAACTAAATCGGTTCAAACTCTCGCGTGTCTGTTCTTACGGCTTGGAACAACAAACGACAACGATCTGCTTAGTTTTATTCGAAAGAGAAACAACAACAGTTAGTTTCTTTCACTTGGTTCTCTGTTTCGATTTCGTATTGAGACAAAAATAACAACTTAAGCATTAACAACAATTACTGGCACACGAAGAAGAAGAAAAGTTACAACATCAACAAATACCAAAAAATAAAAATATGGGAAACGGTTACCATCCGAGACGAGGCTGTCTCTGGATTCAGGTATGGTGCTCTTTCAGTTTCGTTTGTATGGTTGTCGTCACTGGTATGCTTTATTGAAATCAATTCATGTCGGTTATTTGCAAGTACAGAGGTGTGTCGGTTTTGCTCTGGATTTTTAACTTTTGAAGGTTGAGTGAAGGTTGTATGAAGTTGCATGTTCTCAGTAGTGTATTGTGAATCTGATGGTATTTACAAAGGATTGAGGCAGTATTTTTTGAGTTACGGAGAAGTTTGTGTATGCAAAGTATTTTTTTTATGTCTTTCCCTACTGGTCTTTTTTGATTTTCTCCCCCCTTCCTTGTGTTGTTGGTATCAATTTATAGTAGAACAAATGAGGTTTTAGGGGGGAAATTTGATAAGTTTCAAACATCCGAACTTTCTATAACATCTTTTATTTTCTACTAAATTGATGCAACATTTCGCCTGTTATGGACTGAATTTGGTGCAGGTTTACAGAACAGGGAAATTGGATATTTTGCAGGTTTTCTTGGTTGCTTGTGGGCAGGTTTATGTAGCAAGGTTAAAAGTGACAAAAGCTCTAGGTAGACAGCAAGTTTTTGTTGGTTTATGGACAGTAAAATGATAGAAGTAGAATTCCTTGCATAATGTATACGGTAGTTCCATAACATCCTTTTTTTTTGTAATTTTTTGTCATAATAATATTAATAAAAAAGTTTTAAAAAAAAACATGTATTAACAACAAAATATAACTATTATTACTATTTAGAAAAGTGCAAATATATTAAATATAAAATAATAATAATAATAATAATAAATGCAATGAATGATGTATTTTTTTGAATTAAAAAAAGGATTCAAAAATATGAATATAAAATGAAATTAAATAAAAGACAATATTTTTTATATTTTTTTGAATAAAGGAATAAAAATTGTAAATAAAAAAATAATATAATGTTAAGTACTTTTTTTTTGTGATTTTTTGAACGAAAAATACAACAACATAAATCTAAATGAAACTAATAAAAAATATATTTTTTTAGATAATAAGATAAAAATGACATGAACTAAATATTTTTAATGAAAATAAAATAAAAATGAATGATGAATAAAAGATGGAGAAAAGGGTAATATATATGATTGGATAAAATTGGGTTAAACACAATCAAAATTAAGTCTAATTTCATTAAATTCACAAAATAACTTCTTATGTTTCCATTTTTATGTGGCTTTTTAAATATAATCAGCTCTTGACGTTGTAAAGAAAAGTTGTAGATGACGTCAAGGAGAATCATATGCAAAAAGAACGGCTAAAATATTTTAAAATTTGAAGAAGTTATGAACTTTTGAAACTGACTCGAGAATTGGCAAAAATAGGTAAAACCACTCGTGAATACTTGTTATGCAATGATGCAGGTGGAAGATGAGAACTTAAGTAAAAAATTAGGGTATGACAATAACTCGTACTCATATGTATTTAATCTGATTCTATTGTATGTGAACCAATTGATTATTTGATTTTGTTGATTTCATTTTTGTTTATGTAAAACCTAGGTTTTAGGAATCTTTTGACAAACCCGTTTCAAAATCTATGATCCAATATTTTTCGACTATCGAATACCATACTCTGGACACGAAGGTGGGATTTGATATTCATTTGTATCTGATTGTTAATGTTACCGTAAAACTTGGTTGGACACGATCGAGTTAGTTACGGTAAATTCCTCTTCATTTGGTTGGGCATGATCGATGTCGAAGAGGGATTCGTGATAATAGCGAGTGATTGAGAAGTTCACACGTGATAGATCAATTTGATATGTATGTTGTATATTTTTGTTTATTGGTCACAACTTTAGACGCAATCTATTTAGAAATCAGTATCAATGCTTTAGTATTTGTTAGGTATTGAACGTTAGACATAGTTTTATGCTTAATGTTCACTTTTATATTGATTCTTAATGCTACCATATTGTTTAGACACGAACGATATGGTTGAAACCTTGTTGGCGTATGGACACTGTTGTACCCTAAAATTTGTCCTCTCATTTCTCAAATGATCATTCTAGACCCTCAGGTTTGCTTCTGGCAAGTTTCAAGTCTCAAATCATGATTTTCTAAAGAAAGTCATTCACAAGGGCAAAATGGTCAAAAGCACACTGAAAGTTAAACTCTGACTTTTTGATCAAAATCAAATTTCAACAATCATATTTCATCAGGACATGAAATTGGTCCATCAAAAATCAGAAGTCAGAAATTACTTTGAAAAATCAAATTTCTAAACATTTAGAAAATTTTCTAAGTGTTAAGAGAATATGATACTTCAGAACTTGTGGGCCAGCCTTCACACAAGTGCAATCAAAATTTGCAAACACGGTTCAGAACATGATGCTTCAATTAGAACATATGGAAGCAATGTTCTTCGGTCAGAACATGACTCTTCAGCATGTAGAGGCTACGTTCCTGGTCTTCTGCGATCAGAACATCACCAAATCCCAAAACCTCGTTTAAGCAGCCTGCTACAGCACAGTCCTGCAACCAGCTGTTGATCCAGTCCACGCCTGCACTTTCTCAAACCCCATATTTGCACCAAATTAGCATACAAAAGCTGTGATTAAAAATCAATGGAACAGTATGCCAAAAAGGTTTAAATCTCATTTGTTTTTCCCTCTAAAACCACAACAAATTCACCTATAAATAAGTTGCTCCATCACACTTTCAAGGGGCTGGGTTTTGGAGAGAGAGAATTATCAAAGAGAGAAAAGAAAATAGTAAAACATTCGTGAACCCTGAATTCCTAAACAAAACCAAACCTTTGTTCTTCCATTTGATTCAAAGAACATAACATTATGTTCCATTCCTTGCTAACCCCAGAACATCTTAAGACAGCAGCTCTAGTCCCAAACACACACTCCAGATTCAAGGTAAGTCTTTCTGACTTTGAATCTTTTCATTCAAAACATTATTTAATTATGTAAATATCATAGTATTGATGTTTTCCATATCGTTGTATAAGTAGAAAAACTGTGAATCAGAACTTCTTGAATAAAGCTATGCTCAGAATCAGGATTAGAACTTCTATGAACTGTTGTGCTTTTATCTTTTCTGATTTGTTGTTGTTAAGAACTGAATAAGTTGCTGATGAACTGATTAATGTAAGGAAGGAGTTGAAGTGTAACACAGAACTTCTGGATCTTTCTTTCACTCACTGTTTAACACAAACACAGAACTTCTGAGTTCTCTTCACTGTTTTAACACACATAACTTCTAGGATTTCTTACTGTTTTAACATGCAAAGAACTTCTAGTTTTGCTCATTGTTTAACACAACACAGAACTTCTAATTTTTACTCATTGTTTAACACAACATAGAACTTATGACCTTTTGCTCACTGTATAAACACAACCCAAAACTTTTGTTTTTACCCTCTAACGTTTCTTTCAGGATTCCAATAGCATCAACCCAGAACTTCTGATCACCTCTGACGTTTCTTTCTGAGCTACAGCACACAACATCAGAACTTCTGATCCCCTTTGTTTTTCTTTCAGCAACATGCTGATTCTATTTCTCATTATTTTTCCTTTTTTTCTCTTTTATTCTTATTATTTTTAGCATTAGTACTATTTTTATTAACATGCAAAAACATCAAAATATTTTCTTTTATCAACTAGTTATTTTCCCTTTAATTTGCTAAGACAAAAAACCATTTTCAAAAACAAATTCTTTCCTTTTCTTATATTGCACAATTCAATATGGTTGTAATAGATAATTAAGATTTAAAATTCTTGCAAACCCCAATTTGTAAATTTGTACCCCCATCCCTAAATGATGTAATAGCGTAGGACTTTACATTTCCGCAATTTATCGCTTTCAAATATAAATGTTAGTAATTAGGGTGTGTATGGCAAGACATGAAATCAACAAATAGATAACCCTAATCAAAACTAAATGCATGTAAATCAAACACACTTGCACACTAGCACCCTTAGGGTAATCCCACTTTGTTGCCTTTTGGAAAATAGTCATGTCCCTCGAATATGGGCATTTTAGCAAAGACCCTCGATAAAAGATCGTATTCCCTCGATGACCCTTAATGATGCCTTCGGTAAACAATCTAGTCCCTAAACGACATTGCTAAAACGTTCCATAAGTTGCCTTCTATGACTATACAAAAACGTCTTGTGCCCATCCCTTCATATCCAACGATGGGGTTTCTTACCAAAACAATGGCAAGATAACATTTTAGGAGGAGGAAAAGAACATTTAAGACCTTTTGAGTAGGTAGGTTACTCCTAGTTGCTCGCTTGCTCACAACAAAATATTTTATACACCAACACTTCACTTTGAAACATTTTTCAAAAAGACAAAACACTTTGTACGCGTTCTTATAGAGACGAGAACCATTACAAAGATATTATTTTTCAAAATACTTTCAAAATCCACATCACAAACACATTTTCAAACAAAAAGCAAGTGATCTAGCAAGCAACTAAGAGCCCGTAGATAACTACGGATGAAAAAGGTGCTAACACCTTTCCTTTTCATAATCTACCCCCTAAACTCAAGAAAATATCTCGAAAGTTCTTTCTTGTTCTTTTCATCCTTTCCTCTTGGATAAAAGAAAAGTCGGTGACAACTCTTGCTAACCACAAAAATTACGATCAAACGCAAAACATCCCAAGTCAGCTCTCCCACCGCGTTACAGAACTGGTGACTCTGCTGGGGACTACTTAAAAGTGGGGTTACCTTAGGGCTAGATCATCTTTACTTGCTTTCCTTGTTTGACTTGCTTTCTTTACATTTTTTATTCTTTATTTGGGTTATTGTTAAAGATCCTACACCCGGATCTGGGGCACCTTTTAGGTAAGTAGCAATAGATTGTGAAAACTATATGGTGTAGACCGACACGGTTGAAGCAATGGCTACGTTATTGTGACGCATTTGTTGGTACTGATATCCCTTGTGTTGAATCGAGGAGAATACGGGGCCGCTGAGCGGCATCATAAAGCACTAAGTGACTTTAGAACCTTAATTGAACAACTTGGCCACTAGGAAGTAGTGAAATAGCCGACTTTGGTTCCGACCGAAGATTGGTTGATACTCGATGCTACGCTCATTGAGATCGAACTTTTTGGGATATCTCGGCCGCAAGAAAAGATTGATTGAGCTGAGACAATGCCTAAAAGAAAGATCAGTGATATTGAGATCCCTTAGAACCTGGTTACTTACTAGGACAGGTTAAGCCAACTAAACTTCAAGAGGGTACTTGCCTACAAACTTCATGCAAGCCTAAACCTAAGGACTTGTCTGCTTTGTGTGTATATGAATATTTGTACATAACAACTTGCTTACTTTGCATACTTGTACATAACATCATGACATCATACCATATAATTTTCAATAGCCATTTCAAGGATCTCGAGGGCCTTTGATGCAGGGTGATCCGCTGTCGCAGATGAATCAAAAACGAGTTACTTTATAAAAAAATGTAGTTTAGAGACAGTGACTCGAGTATTGTATCGTGAGGATTCTTGTATTGTTATTAACCAACATAAGTGATTATGGGGGATTTAATTCAGGATTAATTTTTAAAGAGCTGAGCAAATAAGTGATTAAAATAATTGATTATAAAAATAAGTCGATCTACTGTTTTCAGGTTCCTTCTAATCATTGG